ATTCTGTTGCGTGGTTAGGCGGGGATCACATCGCTTCGTTCCGGCCGGAACTGCCGAACGCAGAAAAGGACTTGCGCGATCTCGCGAAAGGGAGACCGTGTCAACGCGCGCGTTTTGCCTCGCGAAAAAAAAGGGACACTCTTCCGTCAAGCGAAACTACCGAAACACCTCGCTAACATTCTAACAACGTCTCACAGTGGTACCGGAAGTCAGCTGATTGTTGGAAACGAGCATGCACGCGAGACTCCATCGCATTGCACCGCATCGCTCATACCGCCTTTCGTTTTTTACTCGTTATATCCCCTGTTTTTTTCTTTGTATTTTCTGACACAATTGCCTTGAAGACGATCCCTCGTCAAAATTATGACAAAACACGTATTCATGTATTACATCATGCATGTACTGAGCATATATTGTCGGTTCCAATCGTGTGACGCAGCGTGCATTTTCGGTACACTCGGTATCGTTAATGCTTCCGACATTCCGGTTCCGGTTTGAATTGTTATCGGAAAAAAAATGAGGAAAACGCGAGTTTTTCGATGAGAGAGGGAATCAAGCCGAGTGAAAAATTGGCGTAGGAAATCTGATTGGCTGCTCCATATTGTTTCTCCTCAATTATCAGTTTAAAGATTTTTTTGTGTTAAATTTCTTTAACATTACACGAGTCCCAAACGGTCCATTAAAATTTTTTGTGTTAATTTAACATAAAGATCGTTCTTATTATAGATAAATGTAAAATTTTGTTTAGTATGTACTAATAAAAAAAATAGCAAAAAAAGATTGCAATGCAATGAAATAGACGAATATCGTTCTTAACAAATATGTTAGAAATTAACACAGGTTATATATATGTAAAAAAAAAATTAAAAAATATAATACTGATATAATTTGTAAACAAACTGTGAAAGCATATTTTTTCAGTAAAATTAATATTTATGTTAAATTAACATGTATTTTATTCATTCATTTTTTTTTAGAGAATTTACGTTTTAAAACACGTTTATATATTTTTGTTATTTACTTTTGTTTTTTACTTATAATTTGTATTATTTTAATATTAAATGTTGAATATTAATTTAACATAAAATAATTTTATTAATAATTAAAATAAAAAGTAGCCATATTATAGGCCTGTTTCTCTTTTTCTATTACTTTAATTTTTTGTGCATTTATAGAGTCATCTTTTATCTTTTTTCTAATATGAAAAAAACAGATGAATCATGCAAGAAGTTCAATCCTGAATTATGGAAAAAAACAGGCCTTTATTAAATTAACACTCAAATGTGTTAAAAATTTAACATAAAATTTTAACAATTAAGGACCATTTCTAATATATAAATATAAAATGTTTTTTATTATATATTAATGAAAAAAATAACTAAAAAAAGTTTGCATTTAACCAATAGGGGCGAATAATCGTTTTTGACGAATCGTGGCACGTCTGGATTAAATGCTTAGAGCTTCTTACAGCTGTCGAACGTGTGTGAAAGGTGTCTAATGTTACTAATGGCGCCAAGTGTATGTAGCGTGTGTGGTGTGTATAATATTTGACGGGACGCTGCCGTGCTTCTCTTTCACGTGCTCTTATCACATGATAATAAAGTCGGGACTTGAAACGTCAAATTCGCGAATCAAGCATCCGACGACTGGTGAGAGGAATTCTCGCGCAGAATGAATGTCGTTCGGATTAATTCAAAGAACGTGATATTCCTTTTCATGGCACTCCTGTCAACCTCCGTTCAGGAGGCTCGCATGGATTACGGTGAGTGAATTTGTTCCCTAACGACTAATGTGGGAACTGGCAAAGAAAAATCTGTTTACGTGAAATTGTGAGATCTGGCTTTTCATTATCTGGTTAATTTATGGTTTAAACTTAACCTCACTTAACTTAATAGTGTAATATAAAAAAATTTTTCTAACTATTATTAATAGTTTTGTATTAATAATTTCAAAGTTATTCACTACAAAACCATCAGTTTAGTGATTAACTAAAGACACAAAAATATAATTTTACATTATCATTAGATTAAGCCTAATCACAAGTTAATTAACAAATGAAAAATTAGACCTAAATGTCAGTATTAAAGGTAAAGTTATTTGTATTAATGTTGAAGCGTTGAAGTATTTGATTTCTTTTTTATATGCATTTATAATTTGATTCAATTGTTGCAGGCACTGCAACCAGCTATGCTCTGAAAGAAGCTAATGTAAACTCAACACCAGCCTATAGCAGCAAAAAGGTAAGATTCTTTAATCCATTACTAGAACAGTAGATCCTGATGAGATCCTGGGATATTTTCTTATTTTTAAATAACATAATTTGAAATAATTTTATGTTTTACAGTCTTATTTTTCACAATTTTGTTCTATTCATGTAGACTAATTATTGTACTACATACTAAGTTCAAGTGTGGCAATTCTTAAAGAAAATCAAATTAATAAGAAAAAACTTTTGTGAGTTCCAAGAGTTCTTTATATTCTTTTAGCATCACAAAAAAATATGTGTTCCTATTATAGGTTAAATCTAAGTAATAACTCCATGTTACAATACTTGAGAGTACAAATTCGATTGTTAAATTGCAGGAGGAAATGGCTAGTCTGTGTCCGAGCGGGATACCTTGCGTAGAATTGAGTGGAGAATGCTTGAAGTGCAACTTAAATTACAGCTGCAGATATGGAGCAACATATGAGGCAAATTGCTCCGTGATGGAACATGTCGACTGTATAGTATGTAAAACTTGTGGAAAGAGAATTATGCATTTTTTTCTCCAGCTTAAAATTTAAAATTTTTTAATATATTAAATCGCATGTTTCGAGATATAATTAAATTTGATGTTTTGTTTATTATAACAGGGAGAACAGACTTTCACGAAGAAATACATATGCCGCTACTGTTATCAAACTGACCACTGGGAGCATCAGTGCCATCAGAAAAATTCCTGTAGCTCAGTAGCATCTCCTCAGCAGTATTATAGGTAATGTAACACCATTATATATATATATATATAAATTTATATAGTTTATGTATATATATACCCTTACCAGCGACTTTAAATATACATTCGTTTTTTTGTGAATTCTGATAGGTAAATTTAAATCTGTAAAGAATAAGTAAAATGCAACCCGACTTCTATCATAAACTCATTTTTGCAAGTATACAAGAATTTTTTCAGATTTTTTTAGGATGACAATTTTACATTGTCAACAGAAGATACATACATATGTGTGTGTGTGTGTGCGTGCACGCGCGTGTGTGTGTGTGCGTGCACGCGCGTGTGTGTGTGTGCGTGCACGCGCGTGTGTGTGTGTGCGTGCACGCGCGTGTGTGTGTGTGCGTGCACGCGCGTGTGTGTGTGTGCGTGCACGCGCGTGTGTGTGTGTGCGTGCACGCGCGTGTGTGTGTGTATGTAATAATATGATATTGACATTCTAATATTTTTGATGCAGAACAAATTGTACAGTAAACAATGACATACTGTGTCTGGGCAGACGGAAGTTTATGAAGAACTTACCTTGTAACTGGACAGTTGGATATCGTTGGTCTACGGCTTTGATCTTAAGCATTACTCTTGGAGGATTTGGTGCAGATAGGTACTTTATGAGATTTTAGCATACTTGGAATATAGACAATCGATTAAGTATGAATTTCATATAAGATTCTTATATGAATTGTAGGTTTTACTTGGGACACTGGCAAGAAGGTATTGGTAAGCTTTTTAGTTTTGGTGGACTAGGTGTGTGGACTTTAATCGACGTAATATTAATCTCTATGAGATATTTAGGCCCCGCTGATGGCTCTTTGTATATTTAGATTATTTATGAATTTTGTAAATATCAATATCAGAAGATCTAAGTCTTATTTTTTATTATAATTTATGGTAATTGTTAAGAATGTGTTACATTTGTTGAACTAGGTACAAATTAATGTGATATATGTACATACATAAATGCGAGCAAGTCTTTTATAAAAATGAAGTTTATATTTGTTTAGCCATAGACAATAACTGTCAACATTTTCACATAGATTTAGTGTTGTTTCATTAATGTTTAATATAATCTTTGTATAAAACTCTTAGAAGGGAAGAAAGAAAATGTAAAATGTTGGTTTTTGTAGAAAATTATAAAAATAATTATACACGGAATAAAAATAATTATATTCTGTTAATAAAAAATATGTATTTGAGCCGTTTATTTTGAAAGTGGCCTAAGTCCATTTTTCAATGTTTTGTTGTTGACCTTTGTAGTAGCGTATACAACTTGAAATTAGCTGTCATAAACATTTTTTTTTTTTTTTTTAAAGTGACTTAGGTCACTTTCAAAATAAACGGCTCATTTATAGATCATAACAAATGTTGTAAAAAAATATGTATGTTAATAAAAAATATGCATTTATAGATCATAACAAATTTTAATTTAATTTTTATTATTTAAAAGAAAGTTAAATTAAATTATGCTATTTTTGATTCTTATATTTAAGACTGTTGTGAGTATATTCAAAATGTCACGAACCAATCAAAGGATCATATTAGCATTTTAAGACTACTTAAAACGATGTTATAATAAGAATGGACTATGCATACCAGTCTTAGAGATAGGGTACTTCAACACAAGATCTTTTGTGTTGAAGACCGTTCAGAATAGATTAGAAAATTTGAAACATCCGTAAATTTAACATAAGCAGTAGCAAATATAAAATGTAGATTTGCTTACTGTGTACTCTATAAAATTTTTAGAGTAAATCTTATTTTATATGCCCTTCTTTTTCAAGGCTGGTCCAATTTTCACTCTTTAGTGTGAGATTCTATTCCAAAGAATTTATAGAGTATCATTTTATCCTTTTGTTGTTCATTATATATTAAACAAGGATAAAGTAATATATCATGCTTACTTGCTCAATATGAATTTTAAGGAATTAAACTAAATCAGCCACTAGAACTAGGACTGTTAGTTCTGTTAGGTCATGCTAGGTTTGTGGTTAGGAGCATCGGAGTTCGGAGTTTGTGTTTAGGAGTGTATCGATGTATGTATATGACTGTGGTTGGTACATGATAACATTATTAATCTAAGAAATACATTAGTATGACAGAAGTATTGTTAACAAAATTTTTTAATTTTTATTAACTTGAGACGAGCAACTGTTCTTTGCGAGGAAACAGACATCAATACACAGGAAAATTTAATACGTGGCTTTCTACATAACCTACGTTTATTAATACGTTGTCAAAGAAGTTTATGCAGATTCAGAAGAAAAAGTTGTATACGCGGCTAATAAATATATTATGGGATTTAAGTATCTGTAGTCTTTAATCACGCTGACTTTATTCGGGCGTCAAAATGCCTACGGTAATAGCGTTGGACGTCTCTCTCTCAATGAGGAGACGTGGATCTATGATTGGGAATGAATATTCGCCAAATTATGAATCATTGACGCGGCATCAATTAGCGCTGCATGGCATAAACACTCTGTTACACTACTTGCAAGTTAATTCAAAGTTAGAATTTGTGTCAGTGGTAAGAACAGACTAATATGATGTCAGATAACATACTTATTATAATAGGTATATTAATACATGTAAACTTAACAAATTTCAAATTTCAGATTGCATTTTCATCATTGTACGAAGTAATTTGCCCTTTTACTCGCGATTATGAAGGCATACGCAGCAAGTTACGAATTATCGATGAGTGTGACAAGACATTTATTGAAGGAGCATTACATGGAGTTAATAATGTAATTATGGCGGAATGGGGTAATGCCACGGCTTGCCAAGTGATATTAATTACAGATGGCAATCCTGGCATAGGACCAATGTCTTTAGGCAATTCTTTAAATTCTTTAAATTCTTTAAATGTCACACAAGATGTAAATCCCTTTCCCCTACCTTTTCCATACCCAGGAAAATTAAGTATAGTTTGCATTGCATCGCAGCAGGGTAAGTTGAAACATGAAAAAACATTTCTATTCATTTTTCATTTCTTATATTTAAATATATTGCTTGTATCATGTTTGCAGATCCTAGTTTGCAGACCGGTTTACCTCTCTATCAGCGTTTAGCTGACCTAGCTGGTGGTGACAGCATTGTATTAGTTCCTGAATCACCGCTCAGCAAACATTCCATCATGACTTGCTTCCAAAAGCTAGCGGAAGCAAATTATGTTTCTTTCCAAGGATACCTAAAGTGTGGCCATTTAGGCTCCCGTATTTTATTATCACCAGCCCCTATGGTAATGACACTAATGACAAACATTATGAAAGCATATGCTGTATTACATACTAAATTAAACAATTATATAGACATTGTATTATATATATTTCAGCCTTATACAAAGAAGACAGATTTCGAATTGGCTCCAGGCTTGGCAATATCAAAAACTATAGAAATATGTGGATTTATATCTGTAGGAGATGTTGGTAGCCCAAGTTCCATTTCTAGACATTTAGTATTACCATTGACAACAGAGAAAAATTCAAGCATGCAGGGCATATCGTTAGAAGAGGAGTCAGATACCGATGAAAATGAAGATGAAGGAAAAATGCCGTCTTTTTGTGTGTTGCTTCATGGAGCATTAAAGGTAATGTCTTATTAGGAATCTAAAAATTATTTGAATCTGATTAAATTGATAGATAATTGATATATTTTGCAGGTAGAAAACATGGCAGCCCTTTGTATGTTGAATAACGAATGGTATGGATTTATATATTCTTGGGCGGATACAAAGAAGAAATCTAACTTAATGCTAACAGTATTAGAACCAGGATCTGACGTTGTACCGTGGTTAGGCAATTTTAGCAATTTGGGTCCGTTAGATACGGTTAAAAGTTCTCCAGTTAGTTTTCCAGTTAGACCAACTGAAAAGAGAAGTTATACACAAAATGCTCCTTCATGGATTCGCCAAGTTGGCTTGCAGTCTGATATTCAAAAAATATTAAGACATGCGAGAAAATTACCCGACAAGACACAAAACTTTTACAAGGTAAATTAAATTGATCAAAAGAATAAAGCAATTGTATATGATTTAAATGATAAAATTTTTATGAAATGATTATTTTTTACGCATATAGGAGGTAAACAGATTACGACGTGCAGCAGCGTCTATAGGATTCATCGAATTATTAGAAGGATTAGCGTGCATTTTAGAGCGAGAATGCACATTGCTACCATCAAATCTAAATCCTGACTGCACGATCCAAATGGGGCACGTTGCATCGATGATCAGAAAGCCAGAATTTCATGAACTTAGATACAATATTCCACCCGCACGAACGAAATTTCAACCTGGATCATAAATTGCAATGCACAATAATTGGAATGTTACTATATTTATATCAAAGCTGGACATTCATACAGCAAAAATAAAATTTGATTTGTTATAATCTATATTCCATATTAATATCACATTTATATTAAGTACTTCTATGTTCTTAACCTTTTTTATTTTTTTCTAGATATATTATGTTATATGTATATAAGAAAGTGTATATAGACTTTGAACGCATACACTATCATTCCTTATTATTAATCACTTAACAGCTTAGATTAAGACTGTTAACTCAAGTCCAAATTTCTTATTAAGCGACACAAAATTTCATGTAAACCGTTTGCAGTTTGTTTACTAGGATAATTGTCAAAATCTGGAACGTGCACAAATAGAGTCTTTGTTGGCTCAATACAGAGTGATTGATAAAATATATATTCACACAGATATCTGCCAGCATTGTCCGACAGACAAGCTTTGCATCCGCTTCTTTCGAAGTTTTCATTCACATTATTGCAAAGTTCTCTGACATCTACCTCAGTTTTCAAAACTTTACACTCGACATCTGTTTCATCGGGACATTTATTATATATATCAAATCTGTTGTAGCCGTTGCTGTGAGCATGTTGCTCTATCATTAAAGATTTAGCTTCATGTGATACACCCACATGTAGGACAATCTAAAACAATAGAAATAATAAGTATTAATTAAAATATAAAATTTGCAATACAATCAATGAGAAAGAAAAAATCGGTCAATAACGAACCAAAATTAATTGTTAAAAAATAATATTGATAAAACTGATTCATTAATAAAAATATAAAAACGTTTTGTCTCTACTAAATCTTCAATAGTTTTTCCCTTTTAATGTATTAATTGATAAATCTATTTAATAAAACAGGACAATGCGATATAAATTGAGACAGCATCTTTCGTACAAAATAAATAAAAAAAATGAATGACGTATTGCATACCTACATTTACGTGTGACACTACTTACCGAAGGATTGTGTTTCTTCCAGAGTTGAGGAATATAATCAGATACGTAATCGTACGAAACCGGAATTTTTTCTACAACCAGTTTAACGTCGGAAAATTCCACGGAATTCTTCCATAGTTCCTGCAATTCCTTCACCGCCTCCCAGCTGGCGTTCACTGTGTGTGTACTGAATGGACCAAATCCGGTCACTAGGATTGTGCATTTGGCATTGGCGTCCATTTTATAAATACAATATTCAATAATCTTGGTGTTCGAATCTACTTTTGTTAACTTGAGAATTCAGCTTTATTTATAAGATGCTTATGAATGATTTCTCGGAGCGCTATCGCGTAGTGTTCCTATATAATAATGTATTTTACAGGTACACTACTATCGCGTGACTGACACCACCTTAGAGATTCGCAAATGATAACGTGAATCACGTTGAGCGTGATTGCTCAACGTTCGTGATATAATTGACATTGCCAGGAAGTTTCGCTCGAATATTTATTGCATGCTAAATTTATAAATCTACAAATATCGCATGTGGGATGCACATCAAACGACGTCCAACGATTCATCTCTGTCATATTTTACGATTTAGGCTAGAATATATATATCATATTTATTTGTAAAAATAACTAAATGTCGAGAAAATAATCGGGGGAAGAAAAATATTGCATTCTGGAGTGCATTTAGGAATTGCGGCCAGATAATTCTAGTACGCTTTTATTATAGTATACGTAATGTAAACTATAGCCTGGAGAAAATCGATTTCTGAGCGTAATTCCTAAACGCATCCCTGTGTAATCAAATACTCGCTTTAGTGCAATATCTACAATGTGGAACGAGTAGAAGTAGATTCGATTACTGCCATTAATGTATTTATTCATTCTTTCGATTATTTCGAATTTCAACTTCGAGAATCGCATAGCGCGCTGTTTCTCGATAGGTTTAAAACCGCGAAAGTCAAAGTCTGAAAGTGAAATGCCTGCGTGTGAATTGAAATACATAGACTAAATCTTAGACTCTTAAATCGTGATACTATGACTTTTCAAAAATCTATAGAAAGAAAAAGAAGTACATAGATTTATATAAATAGACTGTATATACTTTTATAAAATACGACGATATCGAAGGATAGAGAGATATGCATAATCGAATATTTTTTCCAATATAGTGGATATTTTTCGACGATTTTTTTCTTTCATATTGAAACCAAGACAAACATATTAATAATCTTCATGAGAGAGAGAGAGAGAGAGAGAGAGAAAATATATATATATATATATATTCATATATACAAAGTATTCGATAAAGATCGTAAGAACACTTAAAAATTGATTTCTGAGATCATTTTGAGACGAATATTCTAATACCAAATTGTCGAGGATATAATAGTTTTTAAATTATAAGTACTTAAAGTTATCGAATTATACCGCCTAAAGTTTGTGCGCTCAAGTACGGTTGGATTTTCCGTTGTATCACATCTGAATGCACAAATTTTAGGCGATATGAGATTCGATAACTTTAAATATTTATAATTCAAAAACTATATTAAAGCTTCGACATTTTGTTATTAGAATTTTTGTCTCAAAATGATCTCAGAAATCTATCCTTAAGCGTAAATTATCTTATATATATATATATATATATATATATAGATTTTGTAAAGGTAACAGAGATTTGCTAAAGAGTTTTAAGTCTGTATCAGACTATCGATTCTGCAGGCAAACTCGACTGCCAACTCTGATAACCGATATAATGACCTAATTACAATTAATGAGGTTGACTGACTGGTTCATTGTGGATCGACAGTCAGAGTAGGCAGTCGGTAGATTGATACGAACTTTAGGGAGATCCTAAAATGAATACCGAATTCCGAATCCTTGTTTTACTGATTCAATAAAGAGTTACACACATACAAGTTACGTGTCATCGACACGTCACTGCACACTGCTACATCAAATTTCTCACGCACACACACACACATAAATTTTCGTAAAATGATATTGTATAGAATTAAATGTATAAATTTAATTCTAAGAACTCCATGATATTTTTTCGTATATTCTACTAGTTAACTTCCAATTTCGTAAGTACAAACTGTAGACCTTATATACATTAAGCAAATGTTAACTTGTACTAGACGACAGTTCTAGATGATAACCAATATGAATTAAATTGTGAAATGATAAAAAAGACTTTAAATTCACATTTGTAATCAACCATCAAAAAATTACTTGATTGATAAGAAAAATGACTTTTAGTAAACATTTTGGAGCCATTTTAACATTATGATTTTTTGTTCTGTTTAAATATGTTTTTCAATTTATTGTCTATGATAGATTTTAGAACAGAAATTTCTGTTAAACGTTAATTTCATATGACGTATTGCAGAATTCTTTCAGAATTGTTGCACATGAGATGTAAAAGGTTGAAACATTTCTGAAAACTTTCCGCAATAATCGGTGCTGTATGAGTATATATACACACACACATATATATATATATATATATATACACATATATATACACCATATACACATATATCATTACATAAACCTAATTTGTAATTTTAATTACACAAGATTGATTTCTTAGAAGAGTAAAGATAATTATACATATACATAATATACATATATGTACATATATAATTTTGCGCAATTACTAAAATTACCGATTTGATTTATGTAATGAGATATACATATACATATATACAGGGTGTCTGGTAAGTTTTGTCAAAGGGCTCGTGTGCAGATAGTACGGACTATAAACTTGTGAGTCGAAAAGTCCGCATCATTTTGCAATTTTCGCAATATAGTTAACAAGATATTAATTACTAAAAATCGCTGAATATTGATTTTCAATAATTTTTTACTCAAATACTACTAACTTTACTGAAAAATAGCGAGAGACAAAAATTGTTTATTTTCTTCTCATAAAGTTTTGAGAATTTTTTCAGAATTTTTTAATACCATATTTTCTCATGTTGGTAAAAATAATTGTTTATATATAAGAAAATGCAGTACTAAAAAGTTGATAAAAAATTTTGAAAAAATTTTTAGAGTTCTATGAGAAGAAAATAATTTTTGTCTCTTGCAGTTTTTCTATAAAGTTGATAGTATTTGAGAAAAAAATTATTGAAGACCAATATTCGGCAATTTTTAATAATTAATATCTTGTTAATTATTGCGAAAATTGTAAAATGGTAGAAAACGTTTCGACTCAGTTTAGTTTATTCTGTCTTTAGTCACCCCTATTTTTATACAGCAATAAAATGTAAATTATTATAAAATATTGTTTTGTATATATGGACATTGTCTAGCATATTTTTTTTCTTTTTAAATAATTCTTTATAAATCTTTAAAATATCCAATTTTATCGAAAATACATAAAAAAACGTTATTTAAAATTTTTACTTTTTAGAAATATTATCATAAGCTACTTAACGTGCTTAAATTTACTAATTTTAATTGGAGTGTAAAAACACTGATGATCGCGCGAGTGTTTACATAAAAGAAGAAATTGGATGGAATTATTCGGAGTTAAAGAATATATAATTTTTTTTATACACAACATAATTGAAAGTATAACATAGAAAGTAAAATTATGCATATTCACTAGTTAAGATGCGTTCCGTATTTACACTTATATGCTGTAAACATTTCATTCTTATTGTATCTATCAAATATTAAACAAGAATAAATGATGCTTGTAGCGCTGTACGCAACTGATACAACGCTGTAAGCATCAAAACATAGTCTTAAAATGTTGTTCTTCAATCTAATTAAAATGTTGATTCAATTTAAAAAATGGTTTACAGAAAAGTTGCTAATTATAAGCCACTTCTATCAACGCAATGATATATATAGACAGAAACTTTATTAGGGCTGGATCTTTAACAATATTTCAGCAACGCTTTGAAATCTTATTTTGTTTATAACAATTAAAATTTTTATTTATATAGATACAGTAAATATAATAATCGAAATAATGAGTGAAATATACATATGTATGTTTCAATAACTTGAATATACAATGTTACATAAAAATATAGAATATATATAAAACTATTTCAGAACTCTTTTTATATAAATGTTATATTA